GAGAAAACCGAGTCTGGTTCGCAAACCGAGACAAGGCACAGAAAAGGGTTCGGAAGTCCGGAGGCAGGGCTCACGGCCGCGACTCTGAAACTTCTGAACGAGAAAATTATGCAACATCACCTAGCGCTCAATCGGTGACATCTGAGTATTAAGGTCGGTCAAAAATGGGGTGCCTACACCAAGCATAGAGGAACCGGAAGTGTCTGAGGTACTCTGCACCGACCTGGGACCATCCTGGATAGACCCCATCATCGCCTTCCTAAAAGCTAGAGTTTTGCCAGAAGAGAAGAAGGCGACCAACAAAATTTGGGCCAAATCAGAGCGGTTTTGGCTCTCTTCATCCGGAGCCTTGTATAAGAAGTCTTTTACCGGGCCGTATCTGAAGTGCGTCCACCCCAACAAGGTTGAAGCTTTCCTCTATGAGATGCATGAAGGCATCGCGGGAGTCATACTGGGGGCAGGTCTCTGGCTTACCGAACGATTTCCCAAGGTTACTGGTGGCCATGCATGTAGGCGGACGCACAGAAATACGTTCGCAGGTGTAAAAAATGCCAGAAATTTGCTCACCAAATCCACCAACTGGCCAGAGAACTGCTCCCCCATACAAGTCCTTAGCCGTTAGCGCTTTGGGGTTTGGATATTGTAGGACCACTCCCAGCAGCCCCGGGCAACCACAAGTTTTTTATCGCTGCCATTGACTACTTCACCAAGTGGGTTGAGGCCGAGCCATTGGCAACCATAAAGGAAAAAGACGTGAAGAAGTTCGTTTGGCAAAATGTCGTCACTCGCTTCTGTATACCAAGGGCCCTCATCTCAGATAATGGCACCTAATTTGACGGTAAACTTTTTCGCGGATTTTGCGAGGAGTTAAAGATTGATTTCTACAACTCTACACCGGCCTACCCTCAGTCAAATGGTCAAGCAGAAGCCTCAAACAAGACCATCCTGGACGGGCTGAAGAAGCGACTAGAAAAAGCCAAAGGGAAGTGGGTTGAAGAACTCCCCAATGTGCTCTGGGCATACCACACCACGCCCAGACGCTCTACCGGGGAAACACCGTTCGCCTTAGCCTATGGCATGGAGGCTGTCATCCCACTAGAAATTGGTATGCCTACCATCCAGTCTGAAAGTTTTGAGCCAGACTTGAACAATGAAGTAGTGGCATTGGAACTTGACCTAGTCAAAGAAAGAAGGGAACGGGCTCTGATCCATATAGCAGCCTATCAGCAAGAGCTGTCCAGGAAATACATCAAGGTCGTGCATCCGAGGCTGTTCAAGGTTAGGGACTGGGTCTTAAGAAAGGTGATGGGCAACACGGTAGTCCCTGGCGAAGGAAAACTTAGTGCAAATTGGGAGGGGCCATATAAGGTGACTAGCTTGGCAGCCAAAGGGGCATACCATTTGGAAAACTTAAATGGAAAAGCTATCCCCAGACCATGGAATGTAGCTGTCACGACCCAAACCCGCCCCTGTAGGTTTAGCATCGTAACCGGCCAGTAATCCGTGGATTACCAAAGGCCTCTGAACAGATTAGCAAATAATAAGGGGCTGCAGAAGCAATAATACAAAATAAACAAGGTCCAATGAGCTGTGATAACGTACATGGGACAGAACATTTCAAAACTTATTTATATAGACATAAACATGCCAGTCCAGACACATAATATTTACAAGGTATTTACAAAATGTACTTCCTAAGACCTGACTTTACAAAGCATACACAAAGACTAGCATGAACACAAAAACAGCCATGGCAATAGACTTCGATCGGAACCTTCTCGGGAGGCACAACGGTTGGCTGACAAAAGCAGAATAGAAGGCCGTCAATTTTGGCCCTGGTCACACGCCAGCTCACCTACATACATAATATAAATTGTGAGCGAAAACCCAGTGAATAATAACAGAGTAAAGGGGTTTCAATGAATGAGTTCGCACAGATTCAGAAATCATAATTCAGTTTCGTATCAAATCCATAATTGGTCCAGATCATATACAGAAATAATAAGTCATGTTTGAGTTTACGTGATACATCCATTAGCAATAACAGAGCAGATACAGAACAGAGGTAGACACGTGAGGGTTACAAGTAACCAGTTCCTTAAAGGAACCTCCGGATCCAGGTAACAGAACAGAAGCTGAGCCCCCATGACGGGGCCTCCGGTACGGGTAACAGAGTGCAAACAGATATAAGTTCCATAAAGGAACCTTCGATACCAGGTAACAGCCAATAAATATCACATGATGCTAAGGATGTCACGAATAGATATCAGAAATTGGACAATCATTCATTGTATAGAACATATCATTTCAGAAAACAGATCTCATTTTGTCACACATAAAATAAGTACAGTTGAACATAACTTTACTAAGTTATTACTCACAGTTGGCCTTGAGACAAACAGATGGAGCAGATTAGTCAGACAGAACGCGGCATGTGACCTGCATAACACATAACAGATACACACTTGAAACACACATTCTAATTGTATAAAACTTACGTCGTTGGCTCTTAATGTGTTTCTAACCTTTAATCCTCATTAAAGGGCCTTAAACATGGCCTAGGAATGCCTAAGATGGAATAAGGATGCAAAAATGCCTTGAAAACCATTTCTTAAATTTTGCTGAAGATAAGGTCCACGCTCGAGCGTGGATTACCCCGCTCGAGCGGACATGCAGATATTGAAGCTCCGCTCGAGCGTGAACTTCATCGCTCGAGCGGACTGTAAAATCGACAAAAGTACTGGATGTAATATTTTCACGTTCAACGGGCGCTCGACCCTCGCTCGAGCGGACTGCAAAACACACAAACTACTGGGTATACGCATTTCATGCTCGAGCTTAACTCTTGACGCTCGAGCGGAAATGCATGTACTCGGGATTCACGCTTGAGCGTGAAAGTACCCGCTCGAGCATGGGTCAAATTTTTGAAAAATCCAGATTGACCTCCAAGCATGAAACTCGACCTTTAAGCCTTCAAAACTCATTTTTTCTGGGCCAATATTTGAGAAAACATAAAATAACTCATAAAACAACATGTATTAAAAATAATTTCAAGAAATCATGGCCCAAGAGCAACCAAATTTGTGCAAAAACCAACATGAACTCTAAGAACATGCCATTAATACAACATGCAAGAATCTCATTGAATCTAAACCCTCCAAAACATGATCAAACTTGATAATTTGATGGACAGCAAGATGAATGACCATAATGTGAGTGAAATTAACACATGGATGGAAGAAATCTTAGAATTCAAACTCAAAGCATGGAAATCTATGCATGCATGCATGGATGGACTCTCAAAACCACACTTTGGGCTAAATCTTGATTTTAAATACCAATTTCACCATGAACCTAGCAAGAACAACTCACATTCATAATTAAAAAGGTGAATTCTCTACCTTTAGGTCTTCAATTCCAAGTATGGAGGCTCAATTATGCAATCCTCTCCTCAATTTTTCTAATTTTCCTAGCAATTCTTGAAGAACTCTATTTTCTCCTAACTCTCTCTCTCTCTAGTCGGTTTGGTCAAGAATAATGGCTGAAGAGAGATGCTACTAAGTGTAATAGGTTGGTCTCAATCAAGCCACTAAGTGGCATTTGTGTAATTAGGCAAACTAATGCAATTCATCATTATTTAATCTAATTTAATCAAACCAAATCAAATTTTAATTAAACCTACCGTAAAATCACATATATTCTTACTAGTATAAAACACTAATCAATTTCTGAATCGGTCGCCAATAAGGCTTCCAATTCGCAGTTCAAAGTCAACACGTAAACATATCACCTTATAGCAAACAGATAGAAACACAGAATTAATGCAATACACATGCAAATTAATCCCAAATCCTTCCTAAATTACCATCAGACATAATTAAGTACGGATTAACATTAATCAGAGGTTGGGGTTGTTACAGCAGCTAATCTTAGGATTTTTTACTTTTGAAATGTAATCGTTTTTGTTACTTAGCCTTTTGAATCTTTAGCCTTTTGGCATTTGATGTAAATCGCTGGGATGTAATGAGAAATAGCCCCACTTTTTTATATTATGAGTTTCTACATAATGACATCACAGGGATATTAGGTCACTGAAGACGCTAGGGGCAAGAAGACCAACTTACACTGAGCCGAACTGACTTTTTCTCGCCGGTGTAGAGACAGGCTATACAAACAGTTGGTATTCTGTCTAAATCGCATGAAGGCCGAGCTGATTTTTGCTCGTCTACAATGAAATATTGGTGCCTGTCCAACTTCCTTAAGGGCTGAGCTGACTTTGCTCGCCGTGTAAAAAGTTGGCACTCTGACCAACCTATAAGGGCCAAACTGATTTTGCTTGCCCAAACGAAATGTTGGCGCTTGTCTAACTTCCTTAAGGGCCGAGCTGACTTTGGTCGCCCGTGTAAAAAGTTGGCGCTCTGACCAACCTATAAGGGCTGAGCTGATTTTGCTCGCCCAAACGAAATGTTAGCGCTTTGTCCAACTTCCTTAAGGGTCGAACTGACTTTACTCGCCCGTGTAAAAAGTTGGCGTTCTGACTAACTTGTAAGGGCCGAGTTGATTTTGTTCGCCCAAATAAAATGTTGGCACTTTGTCCATTTTCTTTCAGGGCCGAGCTGACTTTGCTCGTCCGTGTAAAAAGCTGGCATTCTAACCAACTTGTAATTGCCGAGCTGATTTTGCTCGCCCAAATAAAACGAGCTGACATTGCTCGCTGCGTGAAATGTTGGCGTTTTTCCAAACTTCCAACTGGCCGAGCTGATTTTGCTTGCCCAACGAATAAGTTGGCGTTTTGCCCAATTTATGTAAGGGTCGAGTTGATTTTGCTCGCCCGTAAACTTTGTAGCCGAGCTAAAAGGTGGCGTCTACATTTGAAATTGAAGAAAATTTGCACATTACGGGTGAAAAGTAGAATTTTCATTGATAAAACAAGTTGGGTTACAAAAGTGGGGCCAAGCCCGGTTACATTAAAAAAAAAAAAAAAAAAGAGACAGAAGAGATCAATCTAAATCTAGAAGGACATTTTGTTCGGCTAGGCCCACCTCGGCATCTTCTGTCTCGGCATCAGCGACCGCGACAACCTTTTGCTCCGCCTCACGGTCCTCAGCCCCTTCAGAAGCTTCGGGGGGATTTGGCTCGGTTGGTTGTACGGCGGCTGCCTCTTCCTCAGCTGCCTTCTTCGCCTTTTCAATAAGTCTTTTTTGTGCGACGCTAGTATAGGCCTGTATATAGGCCGGGATGTAGGCAGCAGGCGGGTTTTGGAACATCTCGGCGTCTTGACCAAGGCCAACTTTTTCCACGGCAGCTTTCCAACCGCACTGGAAAAAGATGTCCTTGGTCGCTTGAACTTGCTGCTCATAAGTCCTTTCATCCTCTACATACCCGCGGTCTTCACCATCGTCTACCGCCTTGTCCCTCTCGGCTTTGTGGGCATCTCGAAGCTTTTGCAGCTCAGCGAGGTAGCGAGCCTTTGTCAGCTGAACGACCCTTTGCTTGTCTTCTTCAGCCCGGGCCAATTTCTGACTTAGTGTATCGCGCTCGGCCTCTGCCGCCTCCTGCGCGGCCTTCAGGTTAGTCAACTCGGCCGTCTTGGCCTTGTTGTCAGAAATTGCATCCCGCAGACTTTGCCGCACGGCGATCATTCGCTCATGGGCCAAGTAGTTCTTCTACGCGGCCTGAAAGCACGTGAAAATTGTCAGAATGGAAAAACCGAGCAAAAACTTGATGAACAAAGGAGACTGTCAACTTACCAGCACTATTGATTTCGCCGCCAAGCGGAGCACCTTCAGGTCGGACAGCTCGTCATGCTTCTTCATGTCGACGGGAAGGAGCAGCCCTTTGGTCATGTTAAAACCGAAAGAGTAGTCCTTGTCCGCGTAAACTGAATCTGCAATGGAGACAGCCCGACCTTTGTATGATAACTTGGGCGACCAGACCGGGGGGGCACTCGACCTTTTGGATGGCCCCGTGATCGGTTGCTCGGTCTGGTCCCCCAAGTCGGTGGAAGCGTGCACAGTTGAATCCTTATCCGCTAGGTTCTGTTCAGCCTTATCCTTTCTCGACCTCTTTTTCGACCGGCCAACAGCTTGTTCGCTGGCCAAAGCCAACACAGCACCCTCCCCTTGCGCGGCCGGCGTGGAAGAAGTCCCCCCGGCTGCCTCCGGTGGCTGAGAGTCACTTGCCTTGCCGGTGATCATCGATTTGATTGCCCGGATTTTGGCCATCTCTTGCTCGGCCGTCAGTGGGACCAGTTTGATCAGTGGAAGGTTTGGATCTAGTTTTGGGAAAGGCGCATGCAAAAAGTCGGTTACCTTGCTCTTGCGCGGTGCTGTGTAGTGGTAGGTCGGTTCGAAGTCGAGTAGTTTTTGGTGACTCTCGCTCCTCGGCCGGATGGCGCAACACGACCCTTATAGCTTCCTAGTTAGTGCGGGAGTAATCCTCTGCCAAGAGCTTATAATCTACAAAAAGAAGACAAGTGTTAGATCGGCAAAAGAAGACCAATGCAGAAAGAAAATAACACGGTTCACCGAGCTACTCATCGGCACTCCCGAAATCTTTCCTAATGTACCAGCCCAGTATGGGCGCCTCGGTGTCCTCATAACGACCGGACACCCACAGGAAATCGTCGTCGTTGATTTCTTTGTCCGGATTACCTTCAATGAGGTTTGCTCGGCCTTTCCTGACTTTCAAATACCAGCAAAGCCCACCTTTATTTTTGCTAAGGGTATATTGGTGAAACATCTCGGCGAGGCCGAGATTCAGGCCAAGTAATCCATTTAGCTCGACACACCATTTATTATTTTTTATGTATTCTTGGAAACCTGGGTCGGGCAAAGCCTGGTCTGCCTAAAAAACTCGCAGATCAGGGGCTAGACCGGGAAGCGTAGTCCTCCTTCTACTATGGACATGACCATGAAGGGACACTTGTCTAGCTCGCCCCATGGGGTGTCTGCTTTCTTGGCGAGCTCCAGATGGACATCGTCTGGAATGTTGTACTCTCTACGGAACTCAACAAGGGCCCTGGGAGAACTCACCATGAACCGGTATTTTCCCATCTATCCCGGTTTTATTTATTGAGGTGACTTAGGTTGTATCTCGGTGAAAAATTTTGTGTGTTTGCTCGGACTTTGAGCCTCACTGGAACTAATGCTGAATGGGCCTGGTCGGTCCTAGTTTGTTCTGCATTGTTAAGAAATCAGTTTAAGGGTTAGTGCGGCATAAATTGCATGGCTTCTATGTGGAGTTCCTAGCTCGGTAAAAGGTTTCTGGGGCGTTTGACTGGCCCGACCCCTATCTCGGCTTGACTATCTGGCCGATTTGGCCTTCCTAGTTCGGTTCTAATTCCCTATGTCCAGCACAGTTGTGGCCTCAACGAGAAGCCGCAAACTAGTTTTTGCTCGGCTGAAGTTCTATCTATGGATCTAAATTATTTTTTTATCAGGCTCTTCATCCCGAATACGGAGTTAGTGCTTTAAAACTTAGGGAAGCAAGGGGCACAGGAGCCCCATCTACTTCTCCGATTCTAGTTTTTCCTAGGGTGTACCAATATTGCCCCTAAGAGGGGGCGCTAATAGGATTCCAACAGTGCCAGGCAAAAACGTAAAAAACAAGAATGAAGAACACGAAGAACAATGAAAGCAAAACGCAAAGAGGGGCAGGGAAACTTACGGATGATGGATGCCTGGGCAAGTTCAGCACACCTTGAGCTCGCCTGCTGTTTCTGAAAGATCGAAGGTGGTCGAAAATAGCTTGAGGAATGGCGATAACAGTTTTGAGAGCTAGGGTTTCGGGCTCGAAAACGAAGATGAACAGTGGGGGCACGAATGACCCCTCGTGTGTGTATAAAAAGGGTGGGAAACCCAAACGGCGACAGCCGTTTGAATTTTGCACGTGAGAGAGACAACTGTGGGGCTGCACGGAGCCAATGGAGCGAAGCGACGTGGCAGCAAAAAGATGGTTCTGTCAGTACGGCTGTACGACCGGTGACAAGACTACTGGTGCAATTCAGAAGACCGACCAAATAGGATAGCTCGGTCATGGCGGTAATCCCAATCACGCTTAGCTTGGATGGGATTAAGGGGCAATTGAAAGAGAGATTTGCGCCAGACAAGTACGGTCGAGCTACGGTAACGCAGGTTATAGCGGGTGGCCGAGTCACATCATTTGCTCGGTTATAGCGGCTCCACGGGCCGTCGCGCCGAGCCGAGCTAGATCAGTCAACCGGAGCATGGGGTCATGCGTGTTCCCGATCGAGCTGTGATTCGGCTAGGCGTTCGGTTAGGCATTCGTGTTCCTGATCGGAACCGTGCCAAGCATAGCCCGGAATGAATTTAGACCGGGGCGAAGGCCGGTGCGCCTCACGGCCAGTCAATCCGGAAGAACCGACTTCTTACAGCCCAGCCGTATTGATCGTAGTTGTGTTTCTTCAAGGGATAAGTCGGTCATGATATCCCGGTTGAGTGTGCCACCTGGACCAATGATGTGGTGGAGGGGAAACCTGCTCCAAGCACGCGTCAATACCGCTTGGCAGGTTTGCATATATTGTTTGGAGGTTTTGGCCTTTACACGTGTATGGTGGTGAGAGGCGAGCACTGCCACTTATCCAAGGAAGGACAACAGAGGTAGTGCGCGCATAATCCCTAAGGCTGCATGGCCAACCTAGAAAAAGGAAGGAAGGAAGGAGAACGTTGGAGGTATGCCATCTGAACGACTCTCTCTCTCTAAAACAGTATTCTTCTTCCTCAAGTGATCTGACTTGATCGTCGGAGGGTCTATCCGGTAACACACCGCCCGGCAGCTCACCGTTTCTCTGTTTCCAGGTCAGACGTCATTACGTGAAGCTTGAGTTCTAGGAGTACGGAAAGCAAAGGATATTTCACCCTCGTACACCAGTAAAGCGTCATATCCTGATCAACATAACCATATAATTTGGTGTTGGAAAGAAATATATGAGATGGAAAGAAACATTGGTAAAAGGGCAAATTACACTAACGGTCCTCATAGTTTAGAATTTGTGTTATTTTGATTTCTAACTTTTCAATTGTGATATATTTGATCTTAAATTTTGAATCTTGCTCTAAGTAAAGATAATTGAAGATATTATTACTCAATTTCAAGAGCAAAGTTATCAATTTGATAAAATATAAATTAATTTGATAAAAATAAATGTCAAAATGAATTTTTAAAAATATTTCTATCCACCAAAATAAAATTATGTAAAATTGATAAATCTTTAACACATTTATTTATTTATTTATTTTATCAAATTAATTTTTATTACGTGTTTGGATGGTGATTATGTAATGAGTGTTGGAAAATTTGGTTTATAAAGCTTATTTTGGGCAATCTTTGAGCTCAAAATTGAGTGGGCCCCAAACGTCTTTTGGGATGGGTCCGAAGAGGTGACGTGTTTATTGTCGCGTGGTAAGTCACACGGTGAAGACGGTTCGTCAAAACCATTTATGAGTGAATGGGAAGTTGACGTCGTTTTCGGGTTCATGGAATTGGACATTTAAAGAATTAAATGTAGGTTTCCTTGAAATGGGTTGTCCCACATTGAAATTTTAAGAGAGCTTGTGTATGTATACAAGCTCTAGAGTACAGTACTTGGGTTGAGGCCCAAGGGGCACCCCAAGTTTATAGAAGGGATGAGTTATCGACAAAATGAACCTTAACCCAAACTACCACATACGTGCATTGTTGTACCGAGAGCGGGTATGGGTCAGGTTGGTTCTAATATTAATTTTTTGGAGAAATTTTTTTTGAATTTTTTCCAAAAATTCTTAATGAAATTGAATTCAAATTTTGTACCAAAATAGAATTTAATTTTCTGTCCAAACTGTATCTGATTTTCAGTCTATTTTCCAGCAGTTCAACAGGTTCAAACTGTCAAACAGATTAGATAAAACTGCCCAACAGTTCCGAGCAGTTTTAAAACTGCCAAACAGTTTGCATATCTGTTCAAAACAGTTTCAGATCTGTTGCACCCGGACAGATTCATTTTTGGACAGATTCAAATTCAAAACTGCTTGGGCAGTTTAAGTAGTTTCTAAACAGTTATCTAATTGTACAGTTACCATATCTATTCAAGTTTCAAATCTGAATCTATTCAAGAGTTTTGCACTTGTTCAAGTTCAAATTCATACATTTTTGGGACTATTTTTTGCCTATAAATACCAGCCCTATTCCAGTAGATTTGACATTCGAAATTGACTGAAATTTCATTTTGCAATCCTATTTTTCTCATTTGCATTATTTATTCTTCATTCTAGCGTTAGAGAAAATTAAAGAGAGTATGGAACACAAAGTTCTAGTTCGCCGGACAAATTTGTTTGGAGTGCTACTACAAATTTTGAAAATCATTGTATGCTGGGAGATAGACGCCACTTAACTGTAAGTACCGTAGCGGGACGAATCTATCTTAAGAACAAAGTATCTCACACTTGACTTGGTCTTTAATTATTCATTCGGTTCAGTAAAAATAAATTTGGTACGTAATTTATTTTATTTATTTGATTTTGTTTGTATTTATTTATTGTACACAAAAGATTGTTTCAACAATGAGTGGCTGTTTTAATATTCATTAAATTAGTTTCTATTTTTTCATAAGTCAAATACGAGGATAAATTTGATATCATTATTAAACCAATTCATTAAATCAAAAAATCCAAAATTGAAAACATTTAATATATTAAAAATATCGATTATACATTAAAAACCTCACAACACCCATTACATGATTATCATCCTAACAGATAACAAAAATTAATTTGGTAAAATAAATAATAAAAAAATGCGTAAAAGATTTATTAATCTTACATAATTTTATCTTTGGTAGGTAGAAATAATTTTTAAAAATTCAAAAATATTTTTTTGACATTTATTTTTATCGAATTAGTTTATATTTTATTAAAATGTCGACTTTTCTATTGAAATTGAGTAATGATATTTTCAATTATCCTTATTTGAAACAAAATTTAAAAATGTGTCACAATTGAAATGACACAAATCCCAAATTATAAGGTCGGTTGGTATAATTCACCCTTGATAAAAATCTAACCAACTATGCCACGTGGAATGACAGATTCGTTGCAAAAATGAAGATGATAACCTCAATTGTCTTCAAATTCTAACCAATCAAGCCATGTGGTTGACAGATTCATTAGCAGTAAACCAAAAACAAACGGCAAAATCGGCATGACAAGTTACTCGCACAATCCAATTAAACATAACCTCAATCGTCCTCTACCTTATTTTATTTATTTATGTGGTTGTTTCTCTTTGTCTGTGAGCATTGATGACAAGCACACCTAAGTTGAGAATTTGACCCGAGCCACTCTAACCCAGTTAAGTCAAAATTAAATGATCAAAATATATAAACAAACTCTAAACAAGGCGACAAATTAAACTCACACCGTTCTACTTAGCATCAAGGGACAAGAGACAACCATGCAGCAACATAGACAGACATAAGTTTCTGCATCATAATAATATGGAGTGCCTTGAACCACTAGTTCCTCATAGGCATCCCTCTGTACGAGAAGGAAAGGTTCGGGAACCCAGATGAGAGACTGACTTTCCTCTAGCAGATTGAAGAGGAAAAACCTATTTCCACTTGTCTCAAACAAAAATTCACCAGTGCTTGATGAAGATAATGGTTTCAACCAAGTGAAATTACCATAATTGACGGTAAATTTGGTCCAATAATCCCGAGGAACAAACACACAGAGGCACCCTCCAACAACACTAAGTTGTTGAACTACAATAGAGTCATCAACAAAACCTGGACACGGCGCAGTATGAAAACTTTCATCTATCTATCTATACTATTATAAAGTGAACATATAATATGGTGTCCTGAAGCTTGCTTTACTCTCCTCATGCCATGTGGCAATATTTTTTATTTTTAAAAAAAAAGTTAAACAAAGAGATGGGCAAGGCTTGAACCCATGACCATGGGTTTAAGTACGAGGACTCATACCACTTAAGCTAAGTACACATTTATTAATTTCATTATTATTTTTTTTTATTCCTACTTATTTAAATTGCACACACATCGTGTGTGCCACCCACTAGTCTGCTAAAGTGAAGCAATTACAGTCAATTTATTCGACCCCACAACACTCCTAGAAACCCAGTGAAGAGCCCCACCAAGAAAGCATCGTCATGTGAATGATCAAAGGGAGAGTCCCCAATCCTTCTCCACGAATCGGTGCTTCAGTTATACACACTAACTATATTTTCAGAACGATCAACCGAATAGTCATAGTCACGATGAGAAATTCTCATGACTTTGTAATCATCATTGGATGAATCATAACCAAACCCATAACTCTCTAAACAATATTTAGAGTTGATTGAAAATGGGGATTTGGGTAATTTTCTAGATTGTCTAGTAGATGGGTTCACCAAAGAACAATTGAAAACATCATCGATCATCAATAACAACCCATCACACGAACCCCAAATCTTCATGCAATGATTTGGGTTTTGCTCTGGTGGGAATTTCATGTGCAAAGCCTCGAAATCATCACGGGAATGTAACGATTTGAGATCCACGGAGTGGAAATCGCGAGGTTCCGAAACGAGAATGAGTCGGTCGTGGTGTTGTTTTTCGTTATTGGCGTTGCGATTGCGATTGAAGTCGGTTTTGATGAAATAAGGGTCACAGATAAGAGAGAGCCATGGCTTCGAAACGCACCTGAATCGGCAGAGACAGATGGGTGGGAGTCTCAATAGTATGTCTGTGATGATTTAATCTGGAAGCTTCGTCGTCATCGCAATCTGTCTCTGTCTGTCTCTGTCAAAGTCCATTATATTCGTGATGTACCACGTTCTATCATATCTTATTATTTCTTCTGGTGGGAGATTTTTATTTTTTTATTTTTATCATACGATAAGATGATAAGCATTAATAAATTAAATTACTGTAAAAAACTCTAGTCGTTGCTCCATTATTCCAATTTCGAATTTTTGACCTTCTCATTATTATCGAGATAATTACATAGACAACTGCTTTGTCTAAAAGGTAAGAGATTAGGATTATGTTTGGATTGAGTGATTTGAACAGAAAAGAAAAAAAAATAGAGACAAATATATTTTTCTTATTTGTTTGGATAATTTAAGTTGAGAGAAATGGAGAGAAATAGAGAGAAATATAGAGAAATTTATTTATCTTATAACCTCATTTTCAATCTTTCTAAAAATGGAGAGATTGAGAAAGAAAAGAAATCAATGTTTTCATAATATCAATTTTGTCCATTTAAAAATAAAAGAAATAAGATGATTTAAAATATAAAAAAGTTATTTTGATAATATAACATAAAATATTTTTTTTTTCCTTTGTCTTATGAAATTTAACTACATAAGAAGGAAAAAAAATCATAATCATTTCTTTTCTTTTATTTCTTACTTATCCAAACAAGAAGGAGATGAATCGCAATCATTTCATTTCATTTATTTTATTTTATTTTTTCTTATAACTTAAGTAATCCTTTCTTTTTTTTTTTCCTCATAAATTCCCAAACATAATAGTGTCTTGAATGAAAAAAATAAGATTATTTTAATAATTTTATTTTAGGAGTTGAAGCTCCGTTTGGAAAAAGCTAAAGTGGGTTTTTTTTGACTATTTTAGGACAAAATAAGCTATTTTAGCTACAAAAAATAAAACATCACATCAATCCATAATTATTATACTCTTCTCTGACAAAAAAAGTCAAAAAAGTCAAAAAATCCTTTCCAAATCAAACTTTTTAATCCAAGCTAAAATAATTAAAAAAGTCAAAAAATCAACCTACTTTCCAAACTAACCCTGAATACACATATAATATGGAATCAATCCTCATGATTTGCATAGGGAGATTGGGTTCGTCAAAGCCAGGTTACAAGGGCAGGGATCAAGCTCAGAATCAGAGGCGAGTTAATAAAGTTATGGAAAATGCGGGGCACCGCCAGTACGGGGCGACCCCCAGTGACCTCCAGTCCACGTGACTGTGGGTGATTGATAGAAAAGAAAGAAAAATAAATAAATAAATAAAATTGGCGAATGGCATTGCGCCACGTCACTGGGGTCGATCCCCAGTGGGGGTCTATAGCAATGTTGTAAGGTTATAATAAGATCAAGTTTGGCATTTCTCATATAATTCATCTTTTTATCTTTTTTTTATCACATTATCTTTTTATTTTTTTACATATCTTTTTATGAAAAGATAAAAAATACACTTATTTAGATCATTCTAAACAACCCCTAAATAAAAAAAAAATTAACGAGTGTGCACAAAGGGTATCTTGTTTATTTTATTTTTGGATCAGTATCTTGTTTGTAGAAATGTAATTACCCTTTATCGTCCGCTGATTACCCAATTTTTTATTTTTTATTTTTCTAGTTATTTATTTATTTGTTTTGAGTAAATTACATTACATCCCTCTGTTCCATCACTATAACAAATGATTTTTAACTATTAAATTTTTAGTCGCTCAAACTTTTTTGTCGAATAAATTTTTTCATCGCCAGCTTCGTTGAATGATTGTTGGGAAAGGTAATTGGCGACTAGAAAAGATTTTGTCACTGAAAGTCCATAATTTGCGACTAATTTTTTAATCGTCAAAAGCTCTCAATTAAATTTAACATGACATTTTCAACGACTAACATTTTGTGTAGTCAAAAACTTAAATTATTTAGCTATTAAAATTTTAGTCGGTTAAGATATAATATTTTTTGTTTTGCTATTAAATATTTAGTCGCCAAAAGTATTTTTTCTTTCTTTTTTTTTTATTATTTATTTATTGTTTTAGCAACTAAATCATTAGTCGCCTAAAGTCTTATTTTTTATGACTACTAAATATTTAGTCGTCAAATGTTTTCATTTAATTCTTTTTTTAGGTATTAACTATTTAATCGCTAAAAATATTTACTCCATTTTTGACTGCCAATTGTTTAGTCGTTGTGTGAGTGATTTTCCGATCACATAGCCCAACTTAGTACTCAATTGGAGAACACCGGCAGAATAGGTTAAGCCCGAACAACCTGCAACAGAAAGAAGAGTTTCTGGCGGTGGCTCGTCCACCCGGGGGTACTCTGACGATCAAGTCAGTACTCAATATCTCTCAAAGATAACCAATAGTGCTTAATTCACTAGACAGAATATCAAAAACATCACAGACATACCTTAGACCCATGGGGGTGCCTCTCTTTTATAGCCAACATAATCCTAGTCCCAATAGAAGCCTAGCTCTAATGGACTTAGGATTACTACTAATCTTGAACTCCCAATAGGATTAGGAAAAACTCTCTAAGAGTCTCATATTTACCTAAACTGAAGTCTTTTCTCAGTCTAGGACTCTTGTCCCTTATCTGCTTATCTCGGATTCCGGTATCTTCGGAGATAACCTCGGCCTTGCCGAGATCACCTCGACATTATGACCAGGACACGTGGCACCTCGGCTGGCACTTCGGTGACACCTCGGTCACGTGTCGTTATTCAAAATTTTTATGTCCCCACAACTGCCCCCTAGGTTCTATTACCTCGGCATCTTGAGGTGATGGAACCTATATCATTTCTTCGAATTTAGCACATCGGCTAAGCTTACTCCATTATTTGTTGCCGAAGTCAGAACTCGTCGGCTCAATATGACCAAGACCTATAGTCTGCTTTCATCAATGTTTTGGAACTAACAACCAAGCTATGTTCGAGTTTCTTAGCCGAAACCGTCCTCCTAGCTGAGGTATTTGCTTCATTGAATCAAGAACTCCAAGAGTGTCATCACGCGTGAAAGCTATCATGCACAGCAACCCAACCGTTTCAGTCATGCGTCTTTCCCTCACTGGATTGTACTTTGTTTTCTTTTTGAAGTAATGTAAACTCTTCACATTGCCGATGTGTTTTTAATATAACAACTCTTTTGCTTTTGAATGCTTGCATGCTTGCTTTGTATGCCTCCATACTTCAATCCTCGTGCAATCTTCTCGGGGTGATACACCTCGGTTATACAAACTGATGTTTTACCTCGGTAAGTACCCAAGTACTTTAATTTGATACAACCTTAGCCCTGATTTGTAAATTTATCTCAAATTTTAACAAGTACAAGACATATCCTTTGTCTTACTTCAACTTGTAAACTTTTCTCAACTTTCAATCATTGTTTAAATAATGATCTCGGTTTAATTTTAATTTGTAAATTGTCCAAAATTTCAACAAGTGTTAAACAATGATCTCGGTTTAACTTCAACTTGTAAATTGTCCACAAATTTCAACAAGTGTTAAACAATGATCTCGGTTTCAACTTGTAAATTGTCCACAAATTTCAACAAGTATTAAACAATGATCTCGGTTTTAACTTGTAAATTGTCCACAAATTTCAACAAGTGTTAAACAATGATCTCGGTTTAACTTCAACTTGTAAATTGTCCACAAATTTCAACAAGTGTTAAACAATGATCTTGGTTTCAACTTGTAAATTGTCCACAACTCTCAACAAGTGTTAAACAATGATCTCGGCTTGAAAATTCCTACTCCCAAGCATCATTCTCCAGCCCTATACATGGCTTCTACCTACTCCTTTGCGGACCTTATATAAAAAGTCTTTAACTTAAGCTGAGCTTTTCTCTTCTCAGACTTAATCATCTAGGCCGAGATCTTGTCTTCTAGAATCTGGGATCTGCTCACTTTAGACTGAGCTCTTCTCTTCTCGGACCTAATCATCTAGGCCGAGATCATGTCTTCTGGGATTCTCCATGCCCGACCTCCCGCGAAAGCCGGTGAGAATGTCCCTTGGACCCGCCATGCTGAGGGATTGTAGAAACCGTTTTCTGCCCCCCTTTTTGGGCACCTTTCTTGGTCGCTGGAATCGGTGTATCTTGTAGCGGGAACAGTGGCTACATGACGTTATTTCGGAGGTCGTCCTTGTTATAATACCCGCTTCGGTCCGATTTCTTCAGTACGCCACCCTCCTGGCCGATGTTCTTTCCTTCGTGATTCTTATCACGTGTTTCTTCGTTGCAGTTGTCTTCTTCGACATCAAGGTCAATGTGTTTCTCGCTCCCAGTATGGGTGTCATCCCCAACCTTCTCTTTCTGTTCATCGTTGGCCATCTATTCTCCTTTCGTTCCCACAGACGGCGCCAAATTGTGTGAGTGATTTTCTGATCACACAGCCCAACTTAGTACTCAACCGGAGAACACCGGCAGAATAGGTTAAGCCCGAACGACTTACAACAGAAAGAAGAGTTTCCGGCGGTGGCTCGTCCACCAGGGGGTATTTCGACGATCAAGTCAGTACTCAATATCTCTCAAAGATAACCAATAGTGCTTAACTCACTAGACAGAATATTAAAAGCATCAAAGACATACCTTAGACCCATGGGGGTGCCTCTCTTTTATAGCCAACATAATCCTAGTCCCAATAGAAGCCTAACTCTAATGGACTTAGGATTACTACTAATCTTGGACTCCCAGTAGGATTAGGAAAAACTCTTTAAGAGTCTCATCTTTACCCAAACTGAAGTTTTTTCTCAGTCTAGGACTCTTGTCCCTTATCTGTTTATCTCGGATTCCGGTATCTTCAGAGATAACCTCGGCCTTGCCGAGATCACCTCGACGTCATGACCAGGACACGTGGCACTTCGGTGACACCTCGGCCACGTGTCGTTATTCAAAATTTTTATGTCCCATAGTCGCCAAAAACATCTTTTTATGTTTTTAAAAAAAAAATTAATTTGTCCACAACCACAACCTGTATGTATTCCATGCAACATGTACCAGGTATACAAACAAACCAATGCATATGTTATCACTCATTCCACAATCTGCATCCATTTCACTTCCAATCATCTAAAAATGAATAACTTTAAATGTCAAATTTCATATAAATCAAGTATGTTCTAATTTAAAATAATAATTCCATACAAAACAAATAATCATACGAAAACTATGCCCTCTGTACACAAAAATATATTTACTACCATTTGGCATGGTATATATCACAGCAATAATTATTTGTTCGATGCCAAAAGCATTTTGTACCCCGTCAAAAGTTATTTGTACGATTAATATAAATCCACACAAAAAGCAGAGAACGACAAAAAAATGGGATTATACAAAAGTGTAAATTGTCCTCTGTACACAAAAATGGAATATCCATAAGTCCATGTCAAAAGCTATCTACAGAAAAAAAAAAAATTACACCGATTAGTTCCATATAGCATTTGAGGATAATGTCATACTATCTACAGAGAATCTGACCAATACAAATTTTAGGAGTGTTTTGGGAAGATAGTTAAAAGCTGACCTTTTAATTTTTAATTTTTTTTTATTATTTTATGTGAAAGCTGATATGACATAAAATGAGTTAAAAGCTGACTTTTGACAATTAACTTATGTTCTCAAACCGCTCCTTAATTGCCAAAGGATTAACTTTTGATCGCCAAAAGTGTAAATTGTTGTAATGCATTCAAATAATACTGACATACCTATATTATCTAAAATATCAATGTTCGCACTTCCTATAAAAATTTGGATAATAGTAAGACCTTTTTGTCAATCTAACGTTTCTTGACTTAACATATATAGTTGACGGCATCAAATTTGTGAAGTGTAAATAAATTTGATATAAAACCACCGTATGCAATAACTTTGGTAAAACTAGACCATCACCAAAGGGAAGTAACCAGTATGTCATTTGCTACTTTATTTATATGTAGATTTGAGATCTGACAATCAAAGCAAACTTCATTATCTAATTCCTAATTTTTAGTAATCATCAAAATGAAATGAATCCCTCCCATAAATTTCCATCTTTTTGGTGAATGTTCCTCAAACAATGATATAGGAATTTCAAAAAACTTATCAAATATTTTATATATTATTTACATATGTGTGGAACTCTCAAACAACATGGTAGTCACACCCATACAAGTATTGTGTAGAATATTTTATTGGAACAATTACGCTGACAATGTTGATAGTGCAAGTTATTTACAAATTAAAAAGAAATTCATAATTTTAATTAATAATATTTATAATGATTTGCACCTTTTAATAATTACTTTTTCCTGACTTCATTATCAAGTTATTTCTCTTATTTTATTCTCACCCCACCTTCTACTGAATTTTAATTTTATTTTTAAGTTTTGGGAAACCGTCAAGAGCTTCTAGGGATTTTGTCTAGTTGAATTTTTTTTTTTTTTTTACTGGTTGAATTTTGCTTCCTGCCTTATTTAACTACTAGGACAGCTCCACTGATTACAAATTTGCAGACCACAGAACAGAGGGACACAATATAATGAAACCACAGTACTGATATTGGCATAAGCCAAAAAGTGCCCTTTTATACTGCACAACCTGAAAAAAAATTCAACCAAAATAAAAAAAGAAAGGAAAAAAAAGAAGACATACAGACACCACTACAAGGTGGAGAAAGAACTTGCACAGCATAACATAATATCAAAATGACACTAATGTTAACAAATTCACATTACTGACCACCCCAAATAACATGGAGTAACATCAACCCAACAAAAATATAGAAGTCACTCAAGCCTATTTAACTTTTAAGCCATCTTCCTTTCCATAGGGATCTTGACGAAAACCTACTTCCATTGAGGATCTCAAATAGCCTGGTGGCTGCCCATGTTATTCTACAGGATGAAACAATCACTCTTGCAACTGGATGGCTCGCCTCTCTTTGCCTTTGACAAATCTGCTTTAGTCTCGGCTTCGCATGCTTACGTCTGTGCTTGGAGGGACCTAATGGGAACATTGTTACATAAAGAAACAATTTCATTCAGGAAACAAAATGAATCAAAATGATTAGAGTAAGTTACAGAAATTTTTGTCAAGTATGCTAAGTTACTTACATTACATGTATCCCTACGATCAGCTTATTTCAACAAATGTATAACTGAAAGTGTAAACGAAATCATGGCAAAATGTAAGAACGGATATTTATTCAAGAAACAAAGAACAGATGTGCAAAAACATTCACAACTTTCAATAAAAAATATAAAACATTGTCTCAAACACTAGCCTTGTGTATCTGTAGTTCTCAATAAATTCAAGGACCAAACTTTAACCACCTCCGTGAAACTTTCCCTGAAAATATTGATGTTCTTTGTCACATTGTTATTGTTTTCAAAAGCCTATAAACAGAACCATATGGGGCATGTATATTATTTGGTGTTAGAAAAAAATTTATGAGATGGAAAGAAATATTGATAAAATGAAGATGATAACCTCAATCATCTTCGAAATCTAACCAACTATTTTTTTTTTTTGAACGGCAAAAAAGAAGATCTTTATTGATGAAACATACAAGTATGACAAAGATACATCAATAAAGAGGAGCTTAAAGCTAACACAAGCTTGGAGCTCCAGTTGGCAAGGAGCCAACAAGAAACAGAGAAGAGAAGGAGAACCGAATACACCTGGCCATTGACAACACCAGATTACAAAATGTAGCCAGCAAGCAATCCACACAGGTAGCAGAATTACACAGACAGCAGCAAACCAGGTAGCAGAATTACAAAATGCCAAGAAGTAGAACCGAATACACCTGGCCATTGACACAGGTAGCAGAATTATACAGACAGTAGCAATGGCCAGTTAGCAAACCAGAATTACCCAGACAACAAACCAGACAGCAAACCAGACAGCAATGGCCAAACAGACTGCACTGCCCAGAAAGATAGAAATACACAGCTGCAAACCAAACAGATAGAATTACACAGCAAAACACAGCAGAATTGCACTACCCAGAAAGCCTGAACATATCAGATAGCAACTCAAGAGCGTATGTAGTGCCTAACACTTGAAGCGTTAAAGAGAAAATCATTGATGGAGAATGGAAAGTGTTTGGAAGAGGACTTTAACCATATTGCTAACCTGATGATGATGAGTTCCTGCAACTGCTAGGTGTTAAGATGGGAGGCTTGAAAGAGACACTCATTTCTGATCTTCCAAATGGACCAGAGGGTGACCAAAGGGATGGCACGCCAGATTTTCCTCTCATTTTTCTTGCAATTGAACCCTGCCCACCACTGCAGCAGATTTTCAACAGAGGCAGGAACCACCTAGAGAATACCCCACCAATGTAATAACCCAGTCCAAACTTTCCACACCAAAGGGAAGTGAATTAGAACATGCTGGACAGTTTCATGTTGCGATTTACAGAAAAGACATGAGGTGGAAGCCGACCTATCCAAGACACCAATCCGTTGCAAGAAGACAGAAGTTTTAACCTTGTGTTTCCAAGCGAGCCAACCGAAGAATTGTATTTTGGGAGGCAGATAGTTGAGCCAAACCAAATCACTAGAGTGAACAATGTTACCCAAGGCAAGATTAGAATGATTGTAAAGAGTGGAAACGAAAGACTTGCTAGGGTGAAGGGCTGCCCACACAGCTCTGTCAGCAACTTCAAGATTCAAGGTAGGGGGAGCAGCTATGGTGGTAATAAGCCTGTGGAGTTCATCATTTTTCCCATTCGAAGAGGGCTCTCCTGAAGGTAAATAGCCAAATGGAAGAAGAGTGTGACACAAAGTCCTTGAGAAAACCTTCCTTACTATTGGACAGTTGAAAAAGTCTGGGGAATGCATCTTTGAGGCAAATACCCCCATACCATTGATCGTACCAAAACGTAATACGACAGCCATTCCCCACTTTTAGATGAAGATTACTAATATAGAACAAAAGGAGAGGCTAATGCTTATCTGCTGCTGCCACTATGCCACCCCAGATATTAGAATGATGAATGTTGGAACAAAGGTTTGGAAGCCAAGACCCTCCTAGGAACTTATATTTACTACATAAGACCCTCTTCCATAGTGAATCATGATCTGAGGCAAATCTCCACCACCATTTGAGTAGTAAACATACATTCATATCCCTTATTCTTTTGATGCCCAATCCTCCTTGCTTTATGCTTTTTGTTACCTCCGACCACTTAACAAGATGTATTCTCCTCTTTAGATCTGGGCCTCCCCAAAGAAATGAAGCTTGAATTTTATCTAACTCCTTGGCTACGCCTTCAGGTAGCTTAAACAGAGATAAGAAAAATACAGGCAAGCTTGACAACACTACCTTCACCAGGGTCAACCTCCCCGCATAGGAGAGAAACCTCCTTTTCCACCCGGCAAGCCTCAATTTGAATTTATCTACTATTGGTTTCCACATCCTTTTTCTTTTGGGATTAGCTCCCAGCGGCAATCCAAGATACTTGAGTGGTAAACTTTGAGTCTTGCAATTCAACAGAGATGCAAACTCCTCTAGAGTATTGCCAGGAATACCAACCCCGCAAAGCACGCTCTTATGATAGTTGATTTTGAGACCTGACACTACTTCAAAGCACCTTAAGATCCTTTTCAAAGTG